GACAGCAGATCTGGGGCCTTAGGTCAGCAGACTGGCTATTCAAGGAACTAGTATATAGGATTCTGTGGGAGGCAGCTCTGAAAGGCAAAAACAGTTTGAGAGAACTGACATGTTTTAAAAGACATGACCCGGTGAGACACATCCAAGAGTACTGAGAGCTGGCTGGTGCCACCATGAGGCACCTCTCTATAATCATCTAAAGGCTGCGGAGTTTTAGCATGTTGCAGTCCAGATGAGTGGAGAACTAGGGGAGTGAAAAGCTGGCTGGACTGTTGGGCTCAAAGGGTACTGGTTAATGGAACAATATGGGAAGTTGTCATAAAATAATACAGGAAGTTCCAACTTCATTTATATAAAAAAACCCCCAAGCAACCAAAAAACAAACAAACAAAGAAAAAAACCCATCCACAAAAACAAAAACCAAACCCCACCACCAAACAAACACTTCTAGAAATAAATTTCCAGAGTTTTAGAAAACTGCAGTGAAACAAAGATATCCAATCAACAACAGTTTGCATTTTGCAGATTCCCATACTATGTTCTGGTACACTAAATTAATGCACACATCTTCAGCAGTAAGCCTTTCATTATCATGGTGTAGCTAGGTGCAAATCTCTAGTTTATAGAAAGTATTTTCAGTTGCACTATAAGGTATTGCTTAAAATTCTTGATTATGTACCACAATACTCATGCCACCAGGAATAGACATCCTATTCTTGATTATGTAATCAAGAAAACTACTGAAAATAATATTCAGAGTACAAACTACTTTTAATCAGCACCTAAATACCAAGATACTGATTACTTTGTTGCTCTAATGACATCTGTAATGGATTCTAAGTGCTTTGCCTGATTGCTTCCCAGCTGATCAGAATTCCGTTCATCACTCCTAGCTGCTGGAATTCTGAGATTTTTTGGAGTTCCTTTTGAAAAGACTTCAACATTGCTTCAGCTAAACAACTACAGTACATGCTTTTAAACAGACACCATACATTTTACACTTCATACTCCATGATAAAATGTATTAAGAGGGGAAGATCTGGGTTCCCTCCTTCCCATTTTTATTGACAGGCATTGATTATAAGGCAGTATAATCCAAAGAAGTTGATAGACATTGGCCAAACGTATCATAAAATACAGCTGAACTTCAGCTGGTCATATTTCTCCTCAATAACCACACTGCAATAGTCACTGTGACACACTTTCATTAATGCTGATTTTTTAATTTCTAATACAGAGAATATACACAAGCAATTTAAAAGGCAATTTGAGACATTAAAATACATTCACAACTAGTAAACTTAAATCAGTGTCTTGTCCCATGTAACTTCTGATTTTTGACTACTGAGAGCATGAATTTTTAATCCTTCATTTTCCTGAACCAATATGATAAAGGAATTGACACAGGAATTATTCTTGGAGAGACTCTTCAGCAGAGAAGTATGAAATTATTGCAGTACCATTCTACTACAGACACACAGTCTGCAGGTCCAACCATCCTTGGCTAGAACAGCAAAAATACTTAAATTACTCCAGGAAAATAAATATTACTACTGGTTTTCAATTCTGAAAACATTGATATGTTCAAATTATCTGAAATGCTATTTGCTATAAAAATCCTTGATTCCTTGTTTGCTCTTTTTCGTTAATATAATATTGCAGAAAAGACTTCTTATAATTTCAGATTTTTATTGTAACATAATTAAAGTGTTGACAAATTTCAATATTACTCTTGTAATTTTTAAATGGAACTCTTACTAAAATTTTTTTAAGAGTCTACTCAATTGCTGACAGGTTTTTACCACATTGTGTCTCCACTTTAAGTTATAATTGTTTACATGGATTATGTAAAGTATGAAATCTCAAACACAGTATTTACACTGGAGTTAGTGGAGAGAGACTTGTGCCATATGACACATAGCCATGTAAGAGAAGAAATCCAAGAATTCATTCCTCCAGGAGAAGGAGGTCACCTCAATCCCTGGAGTTCAGTGTGGAATGTGGCAGGAAACTGGAGAATGTGACTGCAGTGCTTCCAGAAACTTACACTGCAAGGAATGTGTGAAGTTTTCATTTCTAACATCAGAGGATTTCTAGTTTTATAAAAGAAAATGCAGCAAATAAGTTCTTATAAGGCCAACATCTTGGCTTCTTTATGCCAACATCTTGCAATGTCTCATACAGTAACAGCTATGAACCAAAGCAATTACAAGATACTGACATTTTTAAAACAGGATGTGAGTTGTCTTGCTTTAAAATATCTTTTAAGTTTTCTTTAGCTCTTTTTGAGTTTAGAAGGAGTGTCTACTCGAGGCTAAAGGTAGCAAAAAAAAGAGGAAAACGTAGGAAGAAGAGAAAAAGGTAGCAAAAAAATTCCTTTGAAAAACCTATTCTTTCACTTCCAAAAGATACATTCATAGAGTTTAAACTGAAGTGCTGATCTGAATTCTTTTAAACACACACTTAGATTTATTTATCTTCCATGAAGTATTTTTCTGACTCTGGATTTCTGTCTCCCTTGCTGTATCACATATCTACGTGCCCTTCTAGGTGACTACTCAAGAGTGTTAATCCATAGATGTCTGCTCCAAAGAGCAACTCGCTTTCAGCTCTCATTTAGACAAGACGACAAACAGCTGACTGAAAAATTGTACTTATATGTACAATTTAATTGTTAAAATGTACTTACATGCTTGCCAACTCATGGCACAGCAAGCCTTTTCCTTAAAACACAAAGACAATAATGAAATAAGTAGTTGCTCCAGTGGAATACTCCGAAATTCCTTTTAGTAGTACATTTCTTCAACTACTTTATATAACTACATGATAACACAGGCTTGCAAGATATTAACATAATTTCAATCAACAAAAAATTATTAGATGAATTAAAATATGGTGGGTTCAGGTGAGGTAATCACAGAATGATTTAGGCTAGAAAAGACCCTTAAGATTATTGAGTAATGACCTGCTCTTTATTGTAATTTCTTCAAAACTGCACTAGGAAGCTTCAGATATTTATACAATGCACAGCACATACATCACATAACGTAAGTGATCTCAGCAGTACAATCTGTTCAGTTTCTTTCATATGTTTACTAACAAAATGAATATATGATGATGTTTTGCAAACCCGACAGGTTTGCATTTAAAATATTACTGAAGTGTGAGATGTACGCTGATAAAAGGGACAATAATGACAAACAGATCCATTACTAGAAAAAACAACATAAAAACAGCCATGTGCAATGCTGTTACTTACTGCATCCAGCCATTTGGTACCCAGTAGAAGTCAAGAAAACTGCTGTCTCTCTGTTGTATGCACTTAACCTCTATCAATGGAAAAGCCTTAGAATCATATTGCTTAAAATCAATAAAGACAAAAGTACTCAGAACTTTCCATTGGTTTATAAGCCTTCGAGAAATAGACAGGTAAAATGAAATTAACTTAGCCTTCCGGGTTAATCAAATTTGTGAGTGAAAGATCTTTTTCAATAAGATGTAGTGTACATACTATTTGTCCTGAATTTTCTTCCTCTTACAAGGGATACTGAAGATAACATAATTGGAACACTTACACAAATTCAAAGTCCTGACTGAAATACATATGTACGCAGGTGACTCTTAGAAAGACATTATTTTATGATTCTGGGTTAAACCTGTACTTCCAAAATTAATGGATCAAGTTTAAATCTGTTGGTTTTTACACTTTCACACTCTATCACTAAAATCATCTTCTGATCAAAAGAAAAGTCTGTAGCCTATAATTAATCATAGAAACACTGAAAAGTTTGGGTTGGAAGGGACCTTGAAGAGATCTCATTCCAACTCCTTGCCAAGGGCAGGGACACCTTCCACTAGAGCAGGTTGCTCCAAGCCCCGTCCAGCTGGCCTTGAACACGGCCAGGGACAGGGCAGCCACAGCTTCTCTGGGCACCCTGTGCCAGCACCTCAGCACCCTCACAGGGAAGAGCTTCCTCCTAATATCTAAATCTCCCCTCTGTCAGTTTAAAGCCATTCCCCCTTGTCAATTGCATTGACAAGAATCCCCATTCTCCCATATGGGAATTCTTCCATTCCCATGATGTCAAACAACTTGCCAGCTAAGGTTTTAAAATCCACTTTGTAGGACACTGAATTAGTGAAAGGTCTCTAATATACCCAAAACCTTGCTGTGCAAACCAGAGCTGGGGAGCACCACTCCAGAAAGCACACGTATTTGCAAGCTTACTTGGTGGATTGTTGTGCTGTCAGGTACAAAGTTGAGGCTGTCTGCAACTCTGCTTCTTACCAAGGCTAAGAAATATAAGACACTGTGCTTAGACTTGCTTTTCAGACCACCTATCAACTTGCAACATTGATTTTTGTTTCACTTCTATCTTCTTAAAATAGAAAGTTTTAAAGTTGTAACTGTCAAACTTTGTAACCCACCTTTCTAGATGGTCTGTTGTTCTTACTCTGACTACACACAGACACACAGATCTTCAAGTCCCACAGCAAGAGGACAGGATGCGAAATCTTGAATTTGCTGATTTCTAGCATTTTAAGAATTAAGTATTGAAGCAGTTGAATTTATTAGAAAGCCAGAGAATTCTGAGTTTCACCCAGTTTTGGTACTCAAAAAGCCATAGCTATTTTTTGTTCTCGGTGCTGTTTCTCCCCCAATGGCTAGAGTCCCTGTTTGTCTTCTAAAAGCAATTTGTTTAGAAGAAATAATTTTAATGCATGCTTTTTGGGCTTCTATTTCAAATAAAATTTCCTCAGGCCTATTGAAAAGAAAGCAACAAACTAATAAAAGTACACCCCTAAAGTGAACAACACATTAAGTCAGATGAAGAAATCAGAATAACATCCCAAGAATCATCTACAAAGCACACATTTTTCCCCAAATACTAAAATGCCAAATCCTATGAAAGAACATTGTGAAGTCAAGGGAATTAAATGAGCCTTGCTGCCTATCTGAAACACAAAGAAAACCCATTCTGCACTTTTAATTGCCTTACCTGGCATTCCATGGATAAGGTCCCCACACAACACAAAGAATTTGGGTTTAGGATTTAGCTTGTTAATGGCCTGCACTGCTTGCTCTGCTAATTTGATTTCTTCTCCCCATTCATCATCTCCATTGTTAGTGTCTCCAACTGCCCAAGCTTTCATCAGTCCAAACTGAGGATCTGCTCCTTGGATGAAGTAGAAAGGCCCTTTCCATTGGTACTCATCATCTAAGAAGACAAAAAGAGAAGGAAAAAAACCAACTAGTTAAGCACTATATAAACTCATAAACAGATTGCAAGTTTTCATGCAACATTAAATTATCTGCTCTTCACCTAAGTAAGCTGAGGATGCTTAAGGTACAGAATTCTGGTGTCATTCATAAAGGACAAATATAAAGGCAGAAGTACAAGATTTTCCTCTAATGGGTAGCTGCAATAAATGAAAGTATATTAATCTAATTATATCACATGGTAATTACAGACTGATTAGAGGAAAAGTATGTGAAGAATTCAGCAAATAGCGCTGGAAATTACAAGACTACAACATAGCACGAGTGTATAACATTAGACTTAAGTTGATTCTTTTAAGACTCCTATTGTTGCTTCTTTAATTAACAAGTTAAAACATACAGAAAACATTTCACATTTTATAGTTCGAGTAGACTTGTCCTTAAATTATTAAAGAGTCAAATTCATTTTGTTCTTTCACTTTTAGAGACAAGTTGGATGTAGCACATTCTTTGGAGTTAGAACTGAAGCTGCTCAACAGGACCAAGGTAAGCAAACGCAAAATACAGCAACACCAGAATTAGCAGCAACCATAAAAATCCTAATTTAGAACTGCCACAACAGCTCCGAGACCTATAATAAGAAAGTGAGAACTCAGGAACAAACTTCCATTGGTAGAGTCAGTGTGGACAGAATTTGTACTGCTACAAAGGAAACGCGATACTTAAGAATACAAACACATTAAGAAAAACATATCTCAAGACCTGGCAAATAAAGCGACAGTTGGCTACAAATTAAAACCACACATGGGTATCCTGTTTCCTATACTTCTGTCTCAACTTGGAATTAAAGTACAAACATGACTATGCTGTGGTTTCTCCAGCTGCCTAAATGCATTCATTTGCAACCTGAATATTTCAGTTTCAACTGCTGTATTTGGCTTAATACATTTGGTGTTACTGGGTTTTAAAAAAATCCCAGCATTTAAACTGTTAAAAATTCACTAACTGCATCATAGTTGAATCTTAAAAAAAGTGATACAGGAGATTATTTCAAATTAAAATATAAACCACAAATATATTCCCATATTTTGTCAGCCTGGCCTGAAATACAGTTTGAGGCAAAACTAATCTTCCAATAACAGTGCATAAGCAAGTGTATGTCCAGCACATGGATTTACTTTTGCTTTTCTTTCAAGTGATCTATAACTGGAACTTCACACTTCTTACTTTGCAAGAAGGGGGGCATATTTCTTTCAAGGAAGGTTAGAAAACAGAGGTCATAATTCATCTCTTGCACCATGATATGGATAGGCTGGGGTGAAGTAGAAGGAACGTGGGCAACCCCTGGAAGCTGCTTGTGATTGTCATCTGTTGCTATGGCATCAGATCATTTTGCCAAATGTAAGCTTCTACATTTGAGCTAAGCTAACATTGAATTTCTGAACAAAATTATTTATAATCTGTTAACACTGCTAATTTATACCAGCATTGCCTCAATCTAAATAATCATCATGTATTTTATAGATAGAAACTTTTAGCCATTCATTAGCTTTTAATTCTGAAATGAAATTAACATTCCCAATTACATAACTTATTCAGAAAAGTGAAATGATCCATCTCTCCAGGAGTTTGTAACAGAAGCCTTATGGAACCAGCTGAACGACACAAAGTAATTTAGATTTTTATTTTATGTCTTGCATGGCAAAACATGACTACCATAAAAATCAGCTTACATGTTGCATCAAAGGCACTGTTTGTGCAGAGAAATCAACTTACAGTTTTTATAAGTGGAAAGCTATGGAAAAAAGAGATCAGTAGAGAAAGCTTGCATCTGAAATACTTTGTGACCTATACAAAACAAAACTGAAAAAAGAGAAAGTCTAAAACAGGAATTTGAAGGACTGGCACAATCCTCAAACTCATTAAATGGAAAAAAAGCCCAAATCTGTGAACAACATGGCACCTGTCCCTTTCCCAGCAACTCAGCAGACAGTACTGATAACCAATGCTGAGCAAAATCTACTTGGTTTGTATTGATTAATCTGAAGCCAGAAATTTTTCAGTAAAATATAAGAGACATTTATCTGTTTATTTTTACAGGAACTACTTTGAAAAGACAGCTAGTCTTTGTTCTCAAAGGCTGTGTTTCAATCCTGGACATATTGTACTTCCCTTTTGAGAGCCCCAGGGATGGTATCTGGCGGCCAAAGGCAGCAGGAGGGCCTGGAACAGGCAGGTAGCTGTCAGGCAGGACTGGACAAGGTCCCAGGTTATGAGGAGCTTCATATGTAACGCTTGACTAGAGAGAAGTCTGGCCAGAAGACAATGGACTGTCAGGGAGCATGCAGAGCTGATGCAGAACAGGTTGCAAAGCCAGACCAGGGGCTGTTCTAATACATGCTTCATGGATATTTTCCCCCCAGCTTATACTCATGCCAATACAGTAGCTCACTAGATTTTAAGTACCTGAATATTTCCAAGACTGTGCACAGATGCTCTGGTTTGAGTGGGTGAGTGATGGTCATGTGAGCCAGAGAGAGAGAGACCAATAAGATGTATTTGAAAAGAGAAGTTCAGTACACAGAATCAAGAAGTGGCAGAAGAAAGGAGAAACAGAAGATGCAGGGGTGGAGGTGAAGAAGAGTGGGGAGAAAAGGAAAGAGACAGGAGGTGAAGAGAGAAAGGAACTGAAAATGATGCAGAGGTATATGCTATATTCTCCTGTAGGAAAGAAAAAGAGAAAATGAAGAAGGCGAAGCAGGGACAACATAAAAGATCCAGGAATCAGGGCTACATAAGTAACATTTACGCAAACTGTTCATTTAACTCAGTGGCCTTAGCCAGATAATTCTGTAACTATTATAAAAGAATTACAAAAAAATAACAGTAAGGTTGAATATACCTTTATCTTGTTATTTGATCATTCCAACTAGAAACCCTATTTAAAACCAAGTAAACCTAGTACTTAAACTTTCCACTACCTTATCACTTATCAAGTGGTACCTACTGAATTAATTTACTACTTACTGATTTTTGTTCCCCACAAAACAAAGGAATACATGGGGAAAAAATAAAATATGGACACACAGTTTAAACTTACAACTTAATTTTTTGTTTACCAGGAATGTGTTTCAATTACTACAAAGTACGATAAATAAAAGCAAATTATCTTGAAATGAGTTGTATTGGTACAACAACAGCACTGGTGCAAACTTGCACCTGCACTAACTCTTAAGCCTGTTCTGTATTCAGCTCAGCTGGGAATTAACTCTTAATTGCCCTCACTGGTCCGTCTGCAGAGGATTTTATGTAAGTACCTCTGCAAAGCCTCCAGCTAAAGTTTACACTCTTGCAATTAGTGCAATTTGTCTAATTTTGCCTAAAACCCCAGTTGCATACCTGCACAAGTGCTCCTGCAACAGACCAATATGGTAAGAGGATTGCAATGAGAAACAGAATGTAAAAGTACCTTCTACTGCCATAGGTGGATGCAAAAGGCTTTTGCCTAAATATTAAATGATTTATCAGTTGATTCTGATCAGGTAATCACCGAACACTCTGTACCCCACTCCTCTCCCTCGCCAGCTGCATGTTAGCACCCTCAAGCAGAACAGCTACTGTAGGCTGTGCAAATGAACCTTGACTGCTTAAGCTGTAGGTCAGGCACCGCAAGAAAGTCTTCGAACCATTTTTTTGGACTTTATAGTGAATCCTAGGAGTGCTCAAACAAATCATTCTGTTGCTATGCTAGGCGAATGCCAAAGCCCCTAGCAGAAGGTTTATAACAAACAACACTGGGCACAAGTGGTAGGAGGGGGAACAGCTGGTTTTGCAATGATCATGTAGTCATAATCCAGGTCCTAGATGCGACTCCACAAGGTTTCAATTAAATAGCACAAACAGTTGCTATCTTCCCTTCAAATGTAGCATGCAACAGCTTTTATGGGAATGTCATCAAAGGCATCCTTCAGCCATTAGATGAGCTATGTGGTTGGATTAGACAAAGTACATGGTAGGTAAAGCAACAGAAGATTAGGATTCAATTAATAAACAATTTTTTGCAGTGCAAACTTGAGCAGAGCTGAGAATGCCTGAAAATTGGCTCTTCACCCCTATGAGCAGAGAGGCTGTTTGAAAGTTTCTGATTTACAACAGCAGTAAAACGCAAATGCCAGACAAAAGTCAGCAGGTTTCTCAGACAACTGATGTACACACAGTTTCCATTTCAGAAAGACAAACGATATCTGTGGAACTGCTCTACACACTGAGCAACACAAAACTCCTATTCAAAATCCATTTTGTTTCCAGGCTTCCTTAAGAGCTGCACAGCTGATCATCACAGAAGAAGTCCAGCTTCAGAACATGTTGTTTGCCTCAGTTTCATTAGCTTCCCACTCTTTTTCTGCTCCCATGCATGCCGAAGTACAGAGAGAGGATCAATGCAATGTATCTTTAGCAGCATAGGCTGAAAAATGGTTCCAGTGTCTAATTTTATCTAAAGATTAATACTGTGAAGGGCCAAAGTAGTCAGCAGCAATTCACAACAGAAAACCTCAGCCATGTATTGTGATCATGCGCAAAAACACAACTCAAGGACATAGGTGGGATTTAAGCCAAACCTCAACTTTCTAGAGGACAAAGCCTAATAATATGTCATGCCTTTATTTCTTCCCCTTTCGCCTGTCTTAATTTCTCCCCTCCTTCAAAGAATCACAAACACACCTATATAGAGATTGTTCATATAAAGCACTGCAAGCTGGCCTCTGACAGCCACATAATACTGGTGGAATTTCAGTATCTCCCTGGTGGGATTTTTTTTAAAGTACAGTGGTTGTCTTTTTTCTCTGCAGTTTACAGCATTTCATGGGAATAAATCAGTTACGGAAAGTTACTCCTGTCCATAGTCCCTCTATAGACACTATTGTATCAGAGAAGAATGGACGTAGACACATACCTATTGCTTGTTCACTATACCTTGAGCAGTAATAACTACA